GCTATATATTCTGCATTTCTTAGGGCTATCATAAGTTTCTTTAGAAAGATCGATTGGTTCTTTGTTCCTTGATATATTATGGAGGAAGTATGTTTTCCCTTGGCTTGAAAGGTATAGAAGTTTTACTGCCGCAGTTCGTGCTTGCCATCGACATCATTTTAACCGAATCTACTAAACTGAGGTTTTTTGGGACATATTAGCCAATTTAGATGTTGGATTAAATCTTATTTGATTGAACTGCAGATTACATCCGTCTATCAGTGAGGTTGATATGCGCCGAGCTTGCCTGGAGGCGTTCTCTTCTGTACTTGCATGGCCCACCACTTTCGGTCCTGCCCGCATTCCAGGTTTTTTTAGAACTGTTTTTAAAGTTGTTGGGACCTCAGTTCATCATGTCCTTGCAGTAACAGAAGATTTATATCGTCTACAAGTAGCTTTGTAACTGTTGAATTTAGTTAAGCAAATGTTTCTGTTAGCTTAAAATTCTTTTTTATTGTTGAAAAATTCTTTCCAAAAAGATTTTATGCTACTTATGACGTAATTATTTGTATTGTATAAGAAGAGCCTTGTTGTTACTACTACTTTTACAAGCAGTAAAATAATGCCCTTTTTTCCCAACTTGCCTCCTTGGTTTTAGTGGTTCATTGAAACTTCAGGCTTTTATTTTAGCCAGGATCTCTATAATTTTTTATAAAAAGTTTTTTAGCCATAGGTTTTTATGCAAATTATAATTTCTCTGGAGAACTTTTTTAGATGCATCTTATGGTCTTTCTTCAAAATCAGGTAACGGTGTTGATGAAGAGCATTCAACGGCGTATATTGAACTCCTTCCGCGCGTTCACCGAAACCTTGTTTATTCTTTACGGCACGAAACTGACCCGTGTAATCTACATCTCACTTTGGGTACGATTTTAAATTTGTAAATTTATTTTTGTATGGCACTGATTTCAAAATTTTTTAATGTTACTTTGAAGCAATTTTTTTCTTCTTTTTTTTTTTTTAGTTTTCATAACGTTTGATTGGCGCGAAACCTCGTAAAAATTATAGGTTTTTCAGTTCTTAAAGATTTTTCATTTTTTTTTTTTTAGTAAAAAAGCAAAAAGATTTTCAGATATTTTTTATCTGGAGGGAGTGCTAAGTTATAACTGAGGGTTTCTCTGTTTAATACAATTGTTTGGAAGTTATCTTGACGCCGTTTATTTTATTTGTAGGTATTTATTTTCTGCAAGAAAGTATCTGAAAGAATCCTTGAAGCTTTTGAAGGCTATAGCGTATTTTTCTTGAACTTGTCAACGTTTATAAAACTTTTTCAAGTAGGGGTTGAGAGTTGGTAGATGTTTGCAGCTGAGAAATAGTTGGCATGTGTAGAATCTGGGAACTCGGTGGTAAATTACTTGCTGATTTTTTCTTTGGAATGAACATGAAAAAGTTGGGATTTTCAGAAGAAAGATGACTTGAAATTTGACTAATACGAGATGAGGAAATGAAATTCAAAATCATCTCGGAGCTTGATGATGGTCAACCAACTTCAATTTTTTGCTAATAAAATAGTATTCTTGGAAGCCTCTTTCGGGTCACTAGTTTTTTGATTATATTCTCGAATAATCACTCAGTTCAGTCAGTGTTTCAAGAGACGAGGAAAAATTGTTAGCTTAGGCGGATAAATATCGGTTTCTCTCGATTTCCTTCTCTATACTTTAGAAGGATTCGTATTCTGAGATGCAATGAAATTTGAAAAAAAACCGCCTGGCTGGTTAAAGGTCTCCAGGAATGATCAAAATTTCCAAAAAATATCAAAATAAAGTCGTTCGAAAAAAAAAAGCATTCAGTGAAAAAATGTTTCAGCAATGTGTAACATCTTATGCGAGGAAAGTTGTATGTTTGACCACAGTGTCACTGGAATTCGTAAACTAAGTGAGTGTAAAAAGTCTGCGCTTGCAGCGGACGAGGAAGAAGAAAAAGGTATGCTTCTTCACGGTTTTTTCTTTCCTTTCATTTTCAATTAAAAGAGTTGTTGTGTACATAATTTTATGCTATTTTTTGAAAGGAGCTATTACATATTGAAGGTTTAAATAATAATCATGATTAATAATCATGAAAAATTCTAGAAAAATTTTTCTAGAATTTTTCATGATTATTAATCATGATTCTAGAAAAATTTTAGAAAAATTTTTTTTTTAAAAAAATAGAAAAAATTCTAGAAAAATTTTTTTAAAAAAATCTAGAAAAATTTTTCTTTGCAGTCTTTCTAGTGGCTTGTAAATATTTCTTTTACCTTGAAAGTAATACTACATTTGTCATGAACTGTTGTAGATTACTGCGTTTCTGTGATAAGGTCTGTGGTTAGTGCAATATGCGACAATATATGCAAACCTCAGTGGGCTTCTGATCTGTCAATTTGCTTGGCTGCTATCGACTGCCTGAATGCTATTGCTAGTTTACGTCCTTCAGCGCTTTTTTATAGAAGTACTTTTTCTTGGCGCATCAGTTTTTTTTTTGTATTGGACGATCAAAATCACCACTTATATTGAATACTTATGATTCATGATTATTAATCTTATAGCAGGTAAAGAAATACTGACTCTTCTATTACGGAAAAATTGGTCTATATTTTAGAAGACATGTCAACTGGCTTTCTTATTGTAACTTCCCTTTGTCGTTTTATTGACATGCAGTTGACAAAGCCGCCTCCTTTACATTCGAGAGATCTTCACTCATCAGTAAGTCACTTAACTTACTTTTTTAAAATATCAGCTAACTCTTTCCTCCTTATTGACTCTTTTAGTCTGTGCTGATTACGTAGAAGTCAAAATTCGGTTTGCAGGTTGTTGCTGCATTTTCCAGTTTGGTGGTTTGGCTTTGTGCAGCTCCTAATTTAGTTGAGACTGAATCTTGTTTGACAAATGTGGCAGAAGTGATTGAGTTTGGGCTGACTGGTGGAAAGAATTTGGTAAGACTTGAGCTCTGCAAATTTTAGCTTCTTTATTGTTATTTTCTGCCGTGTTCGTTGACTTCAGTGCGTAAAAAATATTTTTTACACTTCTGAGTATTTAGAGTGGGGCTGTAGTATTTTGTAATGTCTTTGTTTAGGCCATTTTTCAAGAATGATTAAGGTGCATTGTGAGCTTATCTTTGCTGCTAAAATAAAAATGTAAGGTGCCGAAGCGAACTAAATTAGTTCAGCTCAACTTCGGTTATATGATCATTTGACTTTTTTAAAAATAGAACTGCATCAACTTTTAATTGTTTTGTTATTTTAGTCTTTTATTATTATTGGCCCTTTAGAGAAAGCTGCAAGTTTTACAGTTTATTTTGACCCTGTTTTTCCCGAATATCGTTTCATTTTATTGGTTGTGACACCACTTAAGTTCATTTGATTAGAGTTTTTTCGTTTCGTACAGATCAACTCAGTACTTAGCTTTAAAATAAGTTTATTTACAGCCTGAAACACAAAGGAAACCTGCTAGCAAGCGAGTTAGGGATGCTGCAGAGCATTTACTTTACAACTTGCTCTCATCTGTGGTACATTCTATTTTGCTGAATGAAACTAATAAGTCTTTATGATCTTATAGCATATTTGAATACGCGCAAAAATTTCTTTTAAGTGACTTTCTCTTAGTCTATCTTTTTTTTAGAGTCGTGGAGAACAAAAAGATATTGTAGACGAAAGGACTTTAGCCTATATTTATGGGGATAATTTAGTTGACCTTTCAAAGTTTAAACATTTTCTAGTGAAGCAGGACACTTTGCTGTCGATTCACAATGCTACAAATTCACTTGTTGCTCCAGGTATAATATTTTCTAGCAGTTTTTTAAGGGTTTTTTTATTGATTTTGACCTCATTTCAATCATTCCTTTTTTGAGGTCGTCCTGCTTTATTTTTTATTCTTCGTTCTCCTCACCACGCGGCTGTAGCAGCTTTAGCCCAGTTATTTTCGAGCACAAACGATGAAGAAGCTTCTGAAGAGAAGGATATTGATACAGTGCGGCCTGAAGAACGTATTTTAGCAGACCCAAAACCAACACAATTGAAGAACTTTGAAATACCAGCTGGTTTTGACATACCACGATGTAAATTGTAAGTCTTTTTTTTATATTTACATTTATGTCTTTTTCTGTTAGCTTTGAGTTTGGATGTTCATTTTAGAGACTCTGTTATACCTCATGTACAGTCTACCTCAGAGACAGATCGCATTATGACCGAGTTGAATGGGATTCGGAAAAAAATTCAGCAAGGTGAAAGTGTTGTTCGATCGTCTGATGAACGCAACGTCTGGTTACAGGAGCCCTTGGCAAGTGTCTTAACAAAGCCTCTCCAGCCAAAACCGTAAGTTTTTATTTTAGAATTGACTTCGCAAGTTGTTAAAATTTCGGTTTTTACGGTTTTTGCATTTTAAGACCGCCGGACAAGTGTGACGCGGGACGTGTTTTTTTGTATGATATGGGATTCTTGTCTGAACCAATGTTTACAAATGAAGAATTTGTGATGTTAACTTCGGAAAACAGGTTACTATTTAAGCCATATTATTTATTCCAGTCCAAATCCACTCAAATGGTTGTTTTCGCGAGGTATGCGGAAATTTTGGAAAATTTTTATTTCTAGGTACAGCCTCTGTTTGTATGTTGAGTCTTGCGAGTGCATTTGTCTATTTTCTTATTGTCTTTTTTTTGGCAAATAGCACGAGACAGTTTTTGCGTAACTCTCCTACAGCCATATTTGAAATTTTAATAACTGCGTTTCCAGTGACGAGTTCTATCAAGACTTACATCAAATGGTTGATCGATCCCCAACTAAACTACTTCAAAGTGTTTGCATTTTTTACGTGCGAACGAATCAGCGGAACGTTTCCGAAATACTTGAAAATGCTGTTAGTAATTTTCTGAATGGAAAGATGCATGTATAAAAAAGGTAATGCGTCGGCGTCCTAAGAGGCTAGACTTTGGTAAATTTTAGGCAGACCTTGAAAAAACTTGTCCAGAGTTCTGTCAGATGCTAAGCGAGCTTGGAGAAGTTGTAGAAGTAAATAGCCATCCACACTGGACAGGAAATTGGGCAACTGCTTTTTCATCTGCAGGAAGTAAGCTTTTCATCTGAACGTTCATATGTATGTGTCAAAAAGTGGCGCTTTTCAGTTTCATGGAAAGATGGTTTTGAAGGTATTTGGTCGCAAGGAAGTAAAGATTTGATAGGTTACGTTTTTATTCTAGAACAAACGCGTGATTCTAAAGAAAATTATAATTGTGTTATTGATGGCCTCTCTCACTGTCTTTGGTGGACTGACTCACAAGTTGAAGTAGCGTATACAATGCCTAGCGAAAGATGTGTGAAATCCGGTGGAGGTGCTTACCATGTTACTCCACCAACAATAGTATGCTCATTCGACAGTTCTGCTGAGAACGAACATAATTTCCAGTCCAAAAAGCTTCAGCGTAAGCTGTTTTTACGAATACGGTCTTTTCAAAAGTAGTTTCTCAGTGAAAATTTCAAACTGTAATTTTTTCAAAGTCGTAACCAGTATCTCAAGGGAAACCACGTTTAACACCTTTGTACCACTTTGAAACTGAGTTACAGTAAAATTTATTTTGCTTATTAAATATTTCTCACTTCAGTTGTTCTGCTTTTGGTAGTTTTGTTTTTTTATATTACTTATGACTTAATGTTTTATTGAGGATATACCTACTTTTGTACTTCCTCATTGAAAAATTTGTGGCTTTTTTCAAGGTTCACAATTTTATAAATTCTTTGGTTGCTTGAGAAAGCGGTACATCTTTTTTTTTTTTTTTCGGAAAACTGATAAATTTTGACTTATTTGCGACTGTCAATGGTTATTTTGGTTAATATTTTACATGAGGCTTATTGGTTCTGCTAGGCACTTCAAAACAGATCAGGTTTCTGTGTGATGTTTGGCGTAAATAACATAATTTTTTCATTTTTCTGAAAGTATAAAATATAAGACTTTAGATTGGGAGATGCATTTTGAGGTTTCAATCTGTTGCCGTGTAATGGTACGTGAAAAATAACGGGGTAACATACATCTGAAACTGGAACAGTTGCATATAAAACTTTTTATAGGTACGGAGATCACCGTAGTTGGAAAATTACCTTAATTTTATGACTCAAGTTTTTTTTTCTTTCTCTTATTCTTTTATTTGGTACGTTAATGGTATTGCTGAGGATCTGATTATTATAAACTATCTTGTATTCGATACATAATTATAATGCTTTTTTTTTCTTTTGGTGGAAGTGTTTTTATATTTTAAGTAGTAATGAGGGGAGAGGCAGAAGTGTGAAAGGTTTTGCTCACATGTGAGTTAAATTGACAGAAATAGTTTTCCGACTCTGTTACTTGCTTATTTCTTAATTTTCTGCACCGCAGTTGTGCGGTAGTTAGATACGGTAGTGAAGCAGTAAAAAATGGGCTAAGTACCAGATGATAACACTGTAGTCTTTCTACAATTTTAAAGTCTAGAGCACCAATGAATTGTTTTTAAAAACGAACTCTCCGGTTAAAAAAATGTTTTTCTTTGAAACTTCTGATTTATGTAGTCGCACCGGTTGTTTGGAATCGCAAAATCAAAGTAGAGCAAATTTAGCAAGAATTGGGTTTTCGCTGATTCCTACACTAGTCTTTAACGCGTTTATTGGTATAACTCGTTATTTACTGGTCGTTTTTTTATTTTGGACTGTCTGTTTAGATCAGCTTTCTATAGCTTCTAGTGCGATACCTATGCTATCGCCTGCGGCACATGGGCAACACAACCTTTACAGTCCGAACCATTCTTCCTCTGTTTCGCCGCTGTCAACTGCATCGAGTAGTTCTGGTCTAGTACCACCAAATGCTCATGCCCAACTTCCATTATGTTCGCGAAGAAAGTCGTTGCTTGCTATTGCAAATCCTAATATTCTTTCTTTTGGTTGCAGCGAATCTAATCTAATAGCTTCAGAAACAAAACATCCATTGCTAACTGCTGCAGTCAAAGGCAGCCGGTCACCACGTTTGTCACGTTCTCGCTCTCGTTCTCGGAACTTTGAGAAGCAGTTAACGAAAAATGATAGGTCAAATGATTCTTTGACAGCCAGCAGCCCAGATTTCCAGCTGTTGGGTGTTAATGCAGAATATAACCATCTGGGTAACGCTGAACGATCAGTAAAAAGGCATCGTGCATTAAGTGGAAGTAGAAGGGCTCTATCACCACAAAAAAATTTCATGAGCCAAGATAGAGCAAAGAAAGAGAAAGCCTCACTTTTGGTGCCTGAAACCAGTCCGCAGCTGAAAAACGGAAGTAATCCTGTTTCTTATGCTAATCGCTTAACATTATCCTCTTATTTGAACATCAATGACAGGCACTTATCGTTCACACCCGTCGAAGGCAGGCGTATTCTTGCTGGCCATCACAGTCATCGTCATATGTTGCATAGTCTTGTTGGTCAAACTTGGAGCACCCAGTCATATACGAGTGGCTCTAAGTTCGGGACTTTAGGACCGAAAAGAAGTTGGACAACTGATGATTCTGAGGCGTTCGCCATCAACTTGTCGAAAGAAAAACCAGGTTTTGGCTTGTTTAAATCGTTCTTCCGTAAAAGAACTCCGGAATCGTCTTCTGATCTTATTTATGGATTTGGATCAAGCGGTAGTAGTGGAATTTCTGACAGACCTCTCATCGACTTTATAGAACATAAAGAAAAAGAAAAAAAATATGTTTTGGAAAGGGAAAAAGAAACGCAGACAAAAAGAAGTTACTTTCCAGAAGGTGAGGTTTAAAAGCGCTGCTTAAGCAATGTCGATTAACTGAATACACTTACTGATATATCTTGTTGTTTACTTTGCATGGATGAACTATTTGCTATCTTCTATTGCACTTATAGTCTTTTAATGGCACGACTTATATATATTTTAGACAGTGCAGAAAGCGGTACCTTCACGGTTTTTCATATGTGAGGTTTCCGTTTACTTCTGTGTTGAAATTATTGCAGTACGTTTCTCCGGAACGATATTTATTAACAGGGTTTGGTCACGAAATTCCTCTTAAAAATTTGGATCGTTTTAAGAAATACTTTGCATCTTCAAGTTTTTTAGTGGAAAACTTCTATTGCTGTTCATTCCAGTTTAGATAACGGTTTGGCTGCTTGTTAACTAACTTCAAGTAACTTACATGTTTAGATTGGCTGTTCATTCTGCTTGCATTCTTTTGATAAAAGAGTACAAGAGTCATTCTACGTCAGGTTGCAAAAAAATATATTAAATCTCCCCTCCTATCAGATTTTCGATGGATTATTACTTAGTTCCCAGCTGTCAGAGCCCCTATTTCAAAAGGCTTAGTTCAAAGTATTAGATGTGGCCAGAGTAAGAAAAAGTTGAGTTTTTGAACCTGGCCAACCATTTTTTTACTATAGTTTCTTTAAAACTTATGATTTTACAAATGTTTGGAAGTGCCTGTGTTAGTTATGGGCAGAGATTTTTTCGTATTTTTATACCATTTAACTGGATGGAGGTCCATCTTTTATGCTAAAGTGAAATTATTTGCATTCTGGGCGCAGCATTGATTTAGTTACACTCGCAGTCTGGGGGATTGCCTTTAAAGGTAAAGGTTTGAAAGTATATGATTTGACGTGGAATGGCCCAGACAAACGAAGCATCTTTATATCAGTTCAAATTACCATACTGCTTTGTTTGAATTCCATCATGGTTAATGGTTGCGGTACCTACTAAGAATTGTCCTCTCCTTTTTCTCTTATTAAATTTCTTCAGTTTCTCCTCTTGGGTTTCTATACTTGTGATGAAAGTGCTTTACCTCAGTGGGCGTTATTAGGCGTTGTGTAACGCTCGTTTCTTTTCCAGAATGCTTAATTTTGTGATTTGATCTTACTGTAATTTCAGATCAGATAACACTTCAGTCTTCTTCAAGCGAGGAGCAGGCGGCGGAGCTGGGTGTTAAAGGGAAACCAGATGAGACTTCGCTTAGGTCTCAACCTTCACTTCCCATTAGACCGAAGAGTGTGTCAGTTGCAGGGCATAGTGGTATTGGGCCGTTGCACGGTAAGCGATTGGGGGCGGTGTAGGCAGGTTGTGGTTGCTACTTCAGGCGTTTTGTATGGAGTTTTGCGTGGAGTTTCTGTACGTATGGATGCAATATTGGGGCCTTTTATAGCTTGACTCTATTAAAAGTTTTTAAAATATTTCCTTTCAGGAAACCCTCTTGAATGTCAAGTGCAGACCCTGAAGAGGAATGCTGATCAACGCGTTTTTGTGATTTGGCTTGAAAGAATAGAGGATATATGGCATTTCCCAGTCGGTAAGCATCAGCATTCAAATTATTTTCGAAGAAAAGTAGACGCAGAATTCAAAATTATGATATTCTTTACAGAAGAGATGTTTTCTGTGTCTGGAGACGGATCGCTGAATTCCTTTGGCTTTCTGAGTAGGCCAGACTACGTGGCTATCTTTATTTGTCAGGTTGAGGAGAACTTGGTGCAGATAAATATTAGGGGGAATTTCACAAAGTACTACTTTTTTTCAAAACTGGTTTTTTAGACTGATTACTGTCTAACTTGTTTGTTAAGACTATACGTATTACACTAGTAACCTTCCAAGAAATTGTTCCATCTCTTTTGTTCCACTACACAATTTCAGATGCGGTTTGCCAGGTCCCTTATTCAATGGTTGTGTCATTTCTAATAATTCGTTACCAGCACTTTTACGGTTGACTGTTATTAGTGTGGCTCGCAGGAAAACTTTGGAGCTTGAAAAGTTTGTTAATATGACTGAATCCCTACTTAATGGTGCGGAAGGCTCAGTTGAGGAGCTTTTTAGTAATGGCTTTCAAGGTCGCGTGAAATCCTTATTTGAAAGTTGAGGACCTGCAGCCTTTCTGTACCTCACTCTTCAGTTTACACGTTACTGGATTTGTTGTTTCGTTCGTGTAGAATCGTTAATGTAACAGATTTTAATTAGTTGTAATTTAGTTACCAAATGGTCTTCTCTCGGAGGCGACAAGCAATCCAGGAGTTTGGAAAGAAGTATGCATTCGAGTTCCAGTCGTATGTAGATCTAGTAGAAAAGTTGGTGGCTCCGTAGTTGGTCGTTTGTCTTGCGGGTCTTATTTGTTTTTTAATAGCATGCCAGTTCTTCTGTCACTAAATTTCCGAAACCAGTTGGCAGTTTATAGTACTGACTGTTTCTTGCTAATTATTTGTTGGGAAATTTCCCTGTTGTGCTGTAATAAGGTCTAGTATTTGTATAGTGCTCCTAATATGCGATCTGTAGATAGTCTTTGGACCGGGTGTCTTTAGTTTATTTTTAATAGTCTTGAAAAATCTCCTCTTGTCTCGAAGTGCTGTTGATAAAACGCGACTCTTACTTTTCTTAACCGAATTTGTCGGGTCATTTTTGGTCATGTTCTTGAAAAGCTTATTGTGTGAAATGACTTGTGAAGCGGCAGTGGCATTTTCTGAAACTGTTGTGTTTCA